GGCCTCCCAAAGTGCTGGGATTACAGGTGTGAACCACCACACTTGGCTAGAATCTACCTATAATTTCACAGTTTATAACATCTTTAATAAAAATTAACTTTAGGCCGAGCGCGGTGGCTCAAGCCTGTAATCCCAGCACTTTGGGAGGCCGAGGCGGGTGGATCACGAGGTCAAGAAATAGAGACCATCCTGGTCAACATGGTGAAACCCCGTCTCTACTAAAAATACAAAACATTAGCTGGGCATGGTGGCGCATGCCTGTAATCTCAGCTACTCAGGAGGCTGAGGCAGGAGAATTGCCTGAACCCAGGAGGCGGAGGTTGCAGTGAGCCCGAGATCGCGCCATTGCGCTCCAGCCTGGGTAACAAGAGCGAAACTCCATTAAAAAAAAAAAAAAAAAAAAAAGGCCGGGCGCAGTGGCTCAAGCCTGTAATCCCAGTACTTTGGGAGGCCAAGGTGGCAGATCACCTGAGGTCAGGAGTTTGAGACCAGCCTGGCCAACATGGAAAAATTCCGTCTCTACTAAAACACAAACGTAGCGGGGTGTGATGGCCCATGCCTGTAATCCCTGCTACTTGGGAGGCTGAGGCAGGAGAATTGCCTGAAGCTGGAAGGCGGAGGTTGCAATGAGCCATGATCGCCCTACTGCACTACAGCCTGGGCAACAAGCGTGAAACTCTGTTTCAAAAAAAAAAACAAAAAACAAAAAACAAAACACACAAAAAACAAAAAACACAACTAGCCCAATGTGATGGCACATATCTGCAGTCCCAGCTACTCAGAAGGCTGAGGTGAGAGGAACGCTTGTGACCAGAAGGTTGGGTGGCAGTGAGCTGTAATTGCACCACTGCACCTCAATCTGGGTAATAGAGCAAGACCCTGTCTCAAAAAAAAAAAAAAAAAAAAAAAAAAAAAAAAAAAAAAAAGAAAAAAAGGAAGGGAGGCTGGGCATAGTGGCTCATTAGTGGCTCATGCTTTTAATCCCAGCATTCTGGGAGGCTGAGGTGGGTGGATCACCTGAGGTCAGGAGTTCGAGACTAGCCTGACCAACATAGTAAACTGACTCTACTAAGACTACATTTTTAGCTGGGCATGGCAGCAGTTGCCTGTAATCCCAGCTACTCAGGAAGCTGAGAGAAGAGAATTGCTTGAACCTGGGAGGTGGAGGTTGCAGTGAGCTGAGATTGGGCCATTGCTCTCCAGCCTGAGTGAGAGAGCGAGACTAAGTCAAAAAAAAAAAAAAAAAAAAAAAAAAAGAAAGAGAGAAAGTCTTCAAAAAAAAAAGAAAGAAAAAGAAAAAATGGATCAAATGTCTTCAGAAAAAGACAAAGAAATAAATATAATTAAAATTCTTAGTAAAATTCTTAGTACGTTGACAAAAATGGTGAAAAAGATGGTATCTGCTTTTAAATGGTAGCATGGAGCCAGGCTTTTATTAGTCCCCTTCCATTCCTGGTGTTTGCTGGGAGCGAACAATGCTCCCACTTCCCCAATGCTTGTTGATAATTTGGACATTAGACTATTATTTTTCTATAATCCCATTATTTTCATATCCCTGTTTCCCTTACCCAAGGTGATGTAATACTCGGCCATCTGCTCCCCTTCATATAAAGCTACCTCAAGTCCTGGTTTATCTGAGAAGCCTCTTCCAGGGCTCAGCGGGGAGGGTCCCCTGAGAGGTGGTATGCCTGGGGAATGGTGCAAATGCCATGCCAAGCATTGTGACCTTCAAATTATTATAGCACAAAACGCTTTATGGACTAAGCCTCCATTTGCCTCCGTTTTGGGGCACTGCAAATGATTTCTTCAATGAAAAGATTTAAATCATTTGCAGTGCCTGAAAGAAGCTAAATGATGGTATTTCAACAAGAAGCTCTGAAGTGAAATATTTATTCTTCCTTTATTTTGTAGTCTCTTTAACTCTTTTTCCTTAACTCTTTATTTATAAAGAGATTTATTTATAAATAAACAGTTAAACTTCAGCAGGGTGTGGTGGCTCACGCCTGTAATCCCAGCACTTTGGGAGTCTGAGGTGGGTGGATCACGAGGACAGGATTTTGAGACCAGCCTGGCCAAGATGGTGAAACCCTGTCTCTACTAAAAATGCAAAAATTAGCCAGGCTGGTGGGCACCTGTAATCCCAGCTACTTGGGAGGCTGAAGCAGGAGAACTGTTTGAACCCAGGAGGTGGAGGTTGTAGTGGGCCGAGATCTCACCACTGTACTCTAGCCTGAGTGACAAAGCACGACCCTGTCTCAAAAAAAAAAAAAAAAAAAAAAAAAAGTTAAACTTCCTAGGCATGGTGGCTCATACCTGTAATCCCAGCACTTTGGGATGTGGAGATGGCAGATCATGAGGTCAAGAGATCGAGACCAGCCTGGCTAACATGGTGAAACCCTGTCTCTACTAAAAATACAAAAAATTAGCCAGGCGTGGTGGCATGTGCCTGTAGTCCCAGCTACTTGGGAGGCTGAAGCAAGGAGAATTGCTCAAACCTGGGTGGTGGAGGTTGCAGTGAGGTGAGATCATGCCACTGCACTCTGGCCTGGCGATAGAGTAAGGCCACCTCTCAAAAGAAAAAAAAAAAAGTCAATCAGGATTTCAAATTTTACTTTTTTTTCTTTTTTTTTTTTTTTTTTTTTTGTTATTCACCTGCACCTATCAAATGGGACCAGCTGCATAGGCTCAAGTTTATAATCTCCACACTTTGGGAGGTCAAGATGGGAAAGTCACTTGAGACTAGCTTGGGCAACATAGCAAGGCCCCTGCCTTGTTTCTCTTTGAGACAAAGTTTTGCTTTTGTCATCCAGGCTGGAGTGCAATGGCATGATCTTGGCTCACTGCAACCTCTGCCTCCTGGGTTCAGGCAAATCTCCTGCCTCAGCCTCCTGAGTAGCTGGGATTATAGATGCCCGCCACCATGCCCCACTAATTTTTATTTTTCAGTAGAGAATGGGTTTCGCCATGTTGGCTAGATTAGTCTTGAACTCCTGACCTTAGGTGATCCACCCACCTCAGCCTCCCAAAGTGGTAAAATTACAGGCGTGAGCCACCATGCCTGACCCTGGACATCAAGGGTGGAAGGATAGACAATGGAGACTCCTCAGAACAGTGAGAGAATAGGAGGATGTGGATGATGGGAAATTCCTTAATGGGAACAATGTATGATGATAAATTACTTAATGGATACAATGTATGTTATTTAGGTAGTGGAGACCCTAAAAGCCCTAACTTAATTGCTAGGCAATCTATGCATGTAACAGAGTTGCACTTATACCCCATATATTTATACACATTAAATAAAATATAACATTCTTAAAAAAAATAACTTGAGGAAGAAACAGAAGGCTACAATTCTAGGGGCTCCTACTAAAAACCAGAGATATAAAGGAAGATGAGGCCAGGCGCAGTGGCTCACACCTGTAATCCCAGAACTTTGGGAGGCCGAGGCCGGCAGATCACCTGAGGTCAGGAGTTTCAGACCAGCCTGACCAACATGGAGAAACCCCGTCTCCACTAAAATTACTCAGGAGTTGTGGCACATGCCTGTAATCCTAGCTACTCGGGAGACTGATGCAGGAGAATCGCTTGAACCTGGGAGACGGAGTTTGTAGTGAGTCGAGATCACGCCATTGCATGCCAGCCTGGGCCACAGGAGCAAAATTCTGTCTCAAAAAAAAGAAGAAGAAGAAGACGATGAAATACCTCAGGCCAGAAAATGCTTGTAATTAACATTCAAACCGAAGATTTTGCCTCCAAGTCCAGGCATGGCAGCTCACGCCTGACTTTGGGAGGCTGAGGCAGGTGCATCACTTGAGCCCAGGAGTTTGAGATCAGCCTGGGCAACATGGCAAAATCCTGTCTCTACCAAAAATATAAAAATTAGCCAGTCTCATAAGGTGGTTTCAAAATAAATAAATAAATTAGATAAAAATTTTTTTTTTACAATTCTTCAGAAAGACTTTACTAGGGACAGAAAAGAGACATACACAGGATATCTTTTTTAAAATGTTAAATGACAGCTGTATAAACAACAGAGGGCAGTAACTTGCTGCTGGAGATTTTATTTACATAATTTTGCATTTTATTTACATATATCCCTAATAATGAATTAATCAGGGAGAGCAAAGGAGTTAGTTTCATTAAAATCACCATGCCAGTCCTTCGGTGGCTCACAGCCAAACATGGGTGAATTTCACTTTCTTGTTTTCTTCAATGTATAAGTTACAAATAGCTTAAGATGAGCATCACGGGCTTCCTATTTTATTATTGAAAGAACTCACAAGCCACTAGGCAGCATGTCTTATGCCCTGATTCATAGAATTTTGGCCCCTGCCTCAAGCTGAGCCTGCCCGAGTGGAGATTTCAAATGTGTCATGAGGTTTCCCAGCCAAATTCCTCCTGCACCAACTTGAAAACTCGCTATAAAAATAGCCCTTACTGAGGGAGCCTGACCTGTGACAAAGATTTCCTAGCTGGGAGCAGGAACAGGAAGGCTGCTGTTTTTCTTTTTGAAAAATCTGCTTTAATGTCTCTATGATGTGGATTTGCTTTTAAGATTGCATTTTAAAAATCACCCATGTAACTTGAGTCTCCTGATTGAGAATAAAGTTCCTCACTTCTGGGTGCCTGATAGGGGTTAAACCTGGGCCAGATATAGGGTCAAAAGAAAAGAAAAGGGAGAGAATTCTCTTTTGTTTACTTAGGGAATAAATGTCAGTACAGTGTCTCACTAGGAAATTTGGAAAATTTCTAGGAAAATCCTGGTGATTAAGGACCCTGGGGTTGGTTTATGTTCGAATCCTTACTGGAAAGACTTTTAGAAGTAAGATCAGGTTACTGACAGTTTTTGAGGCTCTGAGTGTATCAAAAATTTAAGAAATAGCAAACAGCAAGATTTCTAATGTAGTTTATTTCCTTTTTTATGTTTTGAACACTTTTAACACAAGGGAAAACAAACTATGAAGCAATATAATTAACTATTCACCAGGTAATAATATATAATTTATTAGGAAGTATAAATGCACAGCCTTTACAGGTATGTGGGCTGGTAATGAGACACAATTTTTTAACTTGAGACTTCCTTCCTGTGTGTGTGTCTCTGAGATTCTGGGTATAACCTCACTAAGCCATCACGTCAAAGGTCTAAATCTGACGCCTTTGACGAATGTGTAGTTGGGGCCAAATGTCTCTGCCTGTGACATTCCCTTCCTGGCCCTGCCTACTACCAGCTGGGTGACCTTGGGCAGGGAGCTAGCTTCTCTTGTATCACAGCCCCAAAGTGTAAAATGCCACATTGATACCTACCTCATGGTTTTGGAGAATTCCAGGTAACTCATATTGACCATTTGACTGAGTGCTTTTCCGTTAGTAAATGCTCAGTAAAGGGTGAGTGTGGTGCCTCATGCCTGTAATCCCAGCACTTTGGGAGCCTGAGGTGGGCAGATGACCTGAGGTCAGGAGTTCAAGACCAGCCTGGCCAACATGGTGAAACCCTGTCTCCACTACACACACACACACACACACACACACACACACACACACACACACACGCTCAATGAACATTAGGTAGAGTTGGTCACTTTTTTTTTTGTTTTTGAGACAGAAAGAGCATGCCACCACCCCCAGCTAATGTTTTATATTTCTAGTACAGATGGGGTTTCACCGTGTTAGGCAGGATTGTCTCGACCGCCTGACCTTGTGATCCACCTGTCTCGGACTCCCAAAGTCCTGGGATTACAGGCATGAGCACCTGGTCTGAGTTGGTCACTATTATTAGAGCTAAGACTTGATGTCTTGGCCTAAGTTTACTCAACTGGTCTGTCTGAGTCACTGCCACACCCTGACTATTCATTCTCTATTCATTCATTCAACACCTATTTATTGAATGCTTACTTTTAGCTTTTTAAACTTTTGTTTTACTAATACCACTTCTACATTAGGAAACTAGCAAGAAGCAGGGGAAAAAAAATATCACCCATGATTCCATTTATCGCAGGTCTTAAACTGCAGTTAAATGTAATATATTATTTTCTTTTTCTCTCTGAACTCCTTCCTCTACTTTTTGTGTGTTTCTTGTTTTTCTTGAGTTGGGGTGTCACTCTGTTCCCCAAGCTGGAGTGCACTGGCCCCAGCTCACTGCAACCTCTGCCTCCCTGGTTCACGTGATCTTCCTGCCTCAGCCTCCTGAATAGCTGGGATTACCGGCATGTGACTCCATGCCTAGCTTATTTTTGCATTTTTAGTAGAGACGGTTTCACCATGTTGGCCAGGCTGGTCTTGAACTCCTGACCTCAGGTGATCCACCTGCCTTGGCCTCCCAAAAGGTTGGGATTGCAGGCATACACCACTGTGCCCAGACCCCAATATTTTTCATTTTTTAAAAATTAAGTTGAGATCATAGCAAGTGTTTGTTTGTTGTTTAGAGGGAGTTTTCCTCTTGTTGCTCAGGCTGGAGTGCAATGGCATGATCTCAGCTTACTGTAAACTCCAGCTTCTGGGTTCAAGCAATTCTGCCTCGGCCTCCCCATTTTTTAATCTCATGCTTTTTTTGGTTTGTTTAGCATGTTAGCCTAAAACTTTTCCAATTTCATTAAAAAGTCTTGGTGGGGCGTTGTGGCTCACACTTGTAATTCCAGCACTTTGGGAGCCTGAGGCTGAGAGACCACCTGAGGGAAAATTTGAGACCAGCCTGACCAACATGGAGAAACCCTGTCTCTATCAAAAATACAAAATAAGCCAGGCATGGTGGGCACATGCCTGTAATCCCAGCTGCTTGGGAGGCTGAGGCAAGAGAATCGCTTAACCTGGGAGCTGGAGGTTGTGGAGAGCTGAGATTGTGCCATTGCACTCCAGCCTGGGCAACAAGAGCGATACTCCATCTCTTCTTCTTCTTCTTTTTTTTTTTTTAAGACGGGGTTTCACCATGATGGCCAGGCTGATCTTGAACTCCTGACCTCAGGTGATCCATCCACCTTGTCCTCCCAAAGTACTAGGATTACAGGCATGAGCCACCACACCCAACTGATACTCCATCTCAAAAAAAAAAAATTTTTTTTTTTTTGAGATGGAGTATCAGTTGGGTGTGGTGGCTCATGCCTGTAATCCTAGTACTTTGGGAGGACAAGGTGGATGGATCACCTGAGGTCAGGAGTTCAAGATCAGCCTGGCCATCATGGTGCAACCCCCTCTTTAAAAAAAAAAAAAAGAAGAAGAAGAAGAGATGGAGTATCGCTCTTGTTGCCCAGGCTGTAGTGCAATGGCACAATCTCAGCTCACCCCATAGGATATGAACTTTGCAAAAGCGGGGTTCCCATCTACGCCACCTATGAGCTTGGGATTACAGGCACACACCACCATGCCCAGCTGATTTTTTGTATTTTTAGTAGAGACGGGGTTTCACCATGTTGACCAGGATGGTCTCGATCTCTTGACCTCGTGATCCACCCGCCTCCGCCTCCCAAAGTGCTGGGATTACAGGCTTGAGCCACCGCGCCCGGCGATAATTTCCCTTTCATTCCTGCCATTTCTTGAGTGCTTCCTATGGTCAGGTGCTGTGCTGTGTGCTGGGGATAGAGGAGGTAGGGCTGAGGTAGATGGGATCTCTGCTTTTGCAAAGTTCATATCCTAAGGGTTGGACAGATACTAAATGTGCAAAGAAGGCCAATACTTGGAGTTGGTGCTGGGTACTACCAAGGAAAGAAATAGGGTGTGTGACAGAGAGTACCTGGAAAGGGCACTAGCCAGCTTTTTTGGGCAGGGAGGTCAAGGCAAACTTGTCTGAAGAGAAGAGACAGGCCAGGAAAATCAGGGCAGGGGCCAGGGTAAGGCAAATGTGGTGCCTAGAGCTTCACACACACATACACACACACACCCACACACCTTTTTTTTTTTTTTGACAGATTTTCACTCTGTTGTCCAGGCTAGAGTACAATGGCTTGGTCTTGGCCCACTGCAACCTCTGCCTCCCAGGTTCAAGTAATTCTCCTGCCTCAGCCTCCTGAATAGCTGGGATTGCAGTAGAGCTTCAAATTTAAGGAGGCACTCACGTGCAGGTTTGTGCAAATGCAAAGTTGGCTTTTGCATGACCCTGGGGGTAGGTGCCTCCTTAAATTTTGCACCCTCCGTCACCTGTCATTTTGCTAGTCCCAACCCTGAGGGAACGCATGCAGGAAAGGCATTCCAGGTAGAGGGAAGAGCATGTGCAAAAATTCAGAGACCAGAAAGGTTTGGTGTGTTTCAGGAACAGAAACTTGGTTCCCATGACTGAAATGGAGTGGGAAAATCCTAATGGAGCCAGAGAGGCAGAACCACCAGAAGGAAGAAGAAAAAAAGTTTGGAAGTTATGACAGTTGCTCATGTTTGATTTATTTAATTTTAATTTTATTTTATTGAGATAGAGTCTCACTCTGTAGCCCAGGCTGGAGTGCAGTAGCATCATCTAGGCTCACTGCAACCTCCTCTTCCTAGGCTCAACTGATTCTCTCACGCCAGCCTCCCAAAGTGTTGGGATTACAGGTGTGAGCCACCGCTCCCCACCTCAAGCAATTTCTTAGTTTTTTTTTTTTTTTTTTTTTTTTTTTAACTCCTACCATAGAAATAATTAACCCTCAAAAACAGTGTTGACAAAGGGTGGTGTGAGGACACAGATGGTATCAGAGTATCATTGTCAGAAACTTCTTGGAAAGGAACTTAACAGTCTGTATCCAAAGACTTAAAATCATTAATAGCCTTTTCCCTAATAATTCCACTTCTGGGAATCTATCCTGAGGAAATCTGCCACAGTCAGAGAGATTTTTTTCCATTCCCCTTAAGAAACAATCTCGGGCCGGGCGCAGTGGCTCAAGCCTGTAATCCCAGCACTTTGGGAGGCCGAGGCGGGTGAATCACAAGGTCAAGAGATCGAGACCATCCTGGTCAACATGGTGAAACACTGTCTCTACTAAAAATACAAAAAAAAAAAAAAAAAAATTAGCTGGGCATGGTGGTGCGTGCCTGTAATCTCAGCTACTCAGGAGGCTGAGGCAGGAGAATTGCCTGAACCCAGGAGGCGGAGGTTGCAGTGAGCCAAGATCGCGCCATTGCACTCCAGCCTGGGTAACATGAGTGAAACTCCCTCTCAAAAAAAAAAAAAAAAAAAAAAAAAAAGAAACAATCTCGGCCGGGCTCTGTGGCTCACGCCTGTAATCCTAGCACTTTGGGAGGCCGAGGTGGGTGCATCACCTGAGGTCAGGAGTTCAAGACCAGCCTGGCCATCATGGTAAAACCCCATCTTTAAAAAAAAGAAAAGAAAAGAAAAGAAAAGAAACAGTCTCATCCTATTGCCCAGGCTGGAGTGCAGAGGCACCATTATGGCCCACCTCAGCCTGAAACTCCTGGGCTCAAGCGATTCTCCCACCTTAGCCACCCAAATAATTGGGATCACAGACACAATCTCCACGTCCATATGCTTAGTTGGATAATATTTTGACCAATAAAGAAAAAGAAAGAAAGGTAGTGCAAGAGAGTGTGCCCAGTTGCTCAAGCAATTTCTTTTCTTTTTTTTTTTTTTCTTGCGAGGGAGTTTCACTCTTGTTGCCCATGCTGGAGTGCAATGGCCCAATCTCCACTCACCACAACCACCGCCTCCCAGGTTCAAGCGATTCTTCATCAGCCTTCAGACCAGGTAGCTGGGATTACACTTATGTGCCACTACGTCTGGCATATTTTGTAGTTTTAGTAGAGACAGGGTTTCTCCACATTGGTCAGGCTGGTCTTGAGCTCCTGACTTCAAGTGATCTGCCCACCTTAGCCTCCCAAAGTGCTGGGATTACAGGTGTGAGCCACTGCACCCAGCACTCAGGCAATTTCTTACTCGTGTATTTAAAAAAAATTTTTAGATTTTTTGTAGAGATGGGGTCTCACTATGTTGCTCAGGCTAGTCTACAACTCCGGAGCTCAAGGATCTTCCAGTGTTGGCCTCCCATCACTGGGATTACAGGAATGAACCACCACACTCGGATGATTTTCTTTTCTTTTCTTTTTAAACACAGTCTTGCTCTGTCATCCAGGCTGGAATTCAGTGGCATGATTTCGGCTCACTGCAACCTTTGCGCCCTAGGTTCAAGCAATTCTCATGTCTCAGCTTCCCTGAATAGCTGGGACTACAGGTGTGCCACTACCATGCCCGGCTGATTTTGTATTTTTATTTTTTTTAAATAAAGATGGGGTTTCACCATGATGGCCAGGCTGGTCTTGAACTCCTGACCTCAGGTGATCCACCCACCTTGGCCTCCCAAAGTGCTAGGATTACAGGCGTGAGCCACCGTGCCAGGCCTAATTTTGTATTTTTTTTGTAGAGACCGGGTTTTACCATGTCGGCCAGGCTGGTCTCCTGACCTTAAGGGATCCACCCACCTCAGCCTCCCAAAATGCTGGGATTCAGGTGTGACCCGCCTTTTCTGTGTCTCTCTCTCTTTTTTTTTTTTGAGACAGAGTCTTGCTCTGTCACCAGGCACCAGGCTGGAGTGCAGTGGCATGATCTTGGCTCACTGCAACCTCCGTCTCCCGGGTTCAAGCAATTCTCCTGCCTCAGCTTCCTGAGTAGCTGGGACTACAGGCACACACCACCACACCCAGCAAATTTTTGTATTTTTTAGTAAAGATGGGGTTTCACTATGTTGACCAGGATGGTCTTGATCTCTTGACCTCATGATCCGCAGGCCTCGGCCTCCCAAAGTGTTGGGATTACAGGCGTGAGCCACCGCGCACGGCTGATCCACCTTCTCTTTCTTCTTCTTTTCTCCCTCCTTTCCTTCCTCCTTCCCTTCCTTCTCTCTGCCACTCAGGCTGGAGTGCAGCGGCAGGATCACAGGTCACTGCAGCCTCGACCTGCTGGACTCAAGTCATCCTCCTGCTTCACCCTTCTGAGTTCCTGGGACTACAGGCATGCACTACCATGCCAGCTAATTTTTGTATTTTTTGTAGTCCCCATCATTTAGAACTGGCAGAATTCTCTTTTAGTGAGGGACTGATGGCCATAAGCAAGGAACCCAAGGTGGAGGGAGTATGCATGTGTGTGGAAGTATCAACTCCTCATAATCTTCAACTACTTTTGGTAACAATTTTTAATTGCACAAGTGAAGTATAAAAATGCTTTCTTTGCAACATAAAAAGATAGGTTAAGCCGGGCGCGGTGGCACGTGTCTGTAGTCCCACCTACTCGGGAGGCTGAGGTGGGAGGATCGCTTGAGTCCAGGAGTTCTGGGCTGTAGTGCGCTATGCCGATCGGGTGTCCGCACTAAGTTCGGCATCAATATGGTGACCTCCCGGGAGCGGGGGACCACCAGGTTGCCTAAGGAGGGGTGAACCGGCCCAGGTTGGAAACGGAGCGAGTCAAAACTCCCGGGCTGATCAGTAGTGGGATCCCGCCTGTGAATAGCCACTGCACCCCTGCCTGGGCAACAGAGTGAGACCCTGTCTCTTAAAAAAAAAAAAAAAAAAAAAAGTTTAAGACTCCTTATGCAAATAGGGTTTAGACATTTGTTTGAGGAGCATCTGAGCTCACCTTTTAAAAAATGTGTATGCCGTCCGGGTGCGGTGGCTGACACCTGTAATCCCAGCATTTCCGGAGGCCAAGGCGGGCGGATCACCTGAGGTCAGGAATTCAAGACCAGCCTATCATGGTGAAACCCCGTCTCTGGTAAAAATGCAAAATTAGCCGGGCATGGAGGCACATGGCATACCTGTACTCCCAGCTACTCAAGAGGCTGAGGCAGGAGAATCGCTTGAACCTGGGAGACAGAGGTTGCTGTGAGCTGAGATCGCACCATTGCACTCTAGCCTGGGTAACAGGGTGAGACTCTGTTTCAAAACAACAACAACAACAACAACAACAACAGCAACAACAAAGGCTGGGCGCAGTGGTTCACGCCTATAATCCAAGCACTTTGAGGCCAAGGCGGGCGGATCACCTGAGGTCGGGAGTTCAAGACTAGACTGACCAACATGGTGAAACCGCATCTTTACTAAAAATACAAAAAAACTAGCGGGCATGGTGGCGGGTGCCTGTAATCTCAGCTACTTGGGAGGCTGAGGCAGAGAATTGCTTGAACTCGTGAGGTAGAGGTTGCAGTGAGCCGAGATCGTGCCACTGCACTCCAACCTGGGCAACAGAGCAAGACTCTGTCTCAAAAAAAAAAAAAAAAAAAAAAAAAGTGTATGTGTATGCATTCACATTATGCATCAGATGCTTTAGGAAATTATTTTCCCAGGGGCATGTCAGGAGGTAGAGGGTCAGGTATGCCTCCTCTACCCAGCTTCTTTTTTTTCGCCTCCCAAGTAGCTGGGATTACACTCATCTGCCACCATGCCCGGCTAATTTTTGTATTTTTATTAGAGACAGGGTTTCCCCATTTTGGCCAGGCTGGTCTCGAACTCCTGACCTCAAGTGATCCACCCACCTCGGCCTTGCAAAGTGTTGGGATTACAGGCATGAGCCACTTCGCCCGGTCCCCAGCTACTTTCTCCTGCAGAAGGCGGCCAAGCCTCAGGTTGAGAGGACTTTAAAGCACATTTCACATTGCAGAGGACAGGGCTTAGTGGTCGTCAGTACTCCCTTTCCTTCCACCATTTAATTTTTTTCATTGTGAAGAAATAGTAGAAGGTGCCAGGACTCGATGGGCACTTTTCAGGTGGAGGCTGGAAAGGTGGATATCCACCTCTCGATCCTACTATTTTCACTTTTTCCCCTCTAGACAGGGGGAAGGCGGGCGCACGTGAATGCAAGGGCACGCCTATGTGCGCGCGCACGCCAGGGCACGAGCCCCCGACACCGCAAGTCTTTGATTGGACGTGCATTTACACCTGACTGCCCGGCCCCCGGGGATCCGGTGCTTTCCGAGAAGCTTTTGGGAGAAAAGTGTGTGGTCGCGGTAGTGGAGATCCCCTGTCCCAGTATTCGTCACCGCGGTGCCCAGACCTCGGCACCGCCCAGGAGCCTGGGGACATGGGGGGCGGGGCGGTCTGCTATCGGCCCCGCCCCTCTCGACCCCGCCCCCGTCGACAGGCCCCGCCCATCTCCCCAGGCCCAGCGGGCGCCGGCACCACCCCTCGCTCCCAGCATACCGTGCGGCAGCGGCGGCGCGGCGGGCGGAGCCGGGAGGCGGGGAAGCAGTGGCCGTGTGAGCGTGAGGAGCAGCCGCCACCGCCTCCTCCTCGGCGTTCTCGTCCTCCGGGGCCCCGGCGTCGTGGGCCGCGCACGGTCCTGGAAGAGACGTCGCCTCCCCTTCATCCGCCTCTTTTCTCACCGCGCCGCTCCCGCCTCCTCGTCCTGCGCTGCTGGCTCAGGCGGAACCCGGAACGGCCGTCCTCCTCCCCCGCCCTCCGCCTCCTCCTCCTTCTCCTCGGCTTCCTCCTCAGCCCCGGGCCGGAGTGGGGTGTCGGCGGCGGCCGGTTCGGGCGGTGACTCGCGCTTCTTTGGGCGGCGGCGCTTGGCCATGTCGTGTCGGGGAAGGTAATGAGCCGCAGAGCCCCGGGGTCTCGGCTGAGCAGCGGCGGCGGCGGCGGCACCAAGTATCCGCGGAGCTGGAATGACTGGCAACCCAGGTGGGTGACCGGCTCGGGCCCCAGCCCCGACCTCCCGGGCTCCGCCTCCGGCGGGCCGAGGCCTAGGGCCGCGGGGCTGGGAGGCGCGGCCTAGGCCCTCCACCCCCCGGAGCCGGGCGCGGCTTCCTGGGTCTCCTCCGCCCCGGCTGGGGAAGGAAGGCCGCGGGGAGGCGAGGCCTAAGTGCCTCTCCTGCCTGCCTTTTCAGCACAGGGGCTCCCGGCGGTGGCACTGGCCTGGGGTCGGGACTAGGAGGTGAGAAAGAGGCGGGGGTGGGGGGCATTCCAGTTACCGCTTCCCTCGACCGTGAGTTGGGAGATCCTGCGAGTCCGGGACCCTCCCTGTTACTCATTCACTTCCTCGGTTCCTCACTCTTTGAGCCGCCACGTGAGAGACCTCCTAACCTGTGTTCCTTTCTGTGACCCCCACGTGTTAATATTGAAAAAACCAAAACAGAACTCCAGCTAAGGCATTGCTCTGACTTTAGGCAGGACATTCATTAGTGGAGCATGAGATGACATTGTGTGACTGTTGATGGGATCGACCCACCCTAGTCTTGGAAGATGGAAGTTTTCCCTAAGTGCAAGGCCAGTTACTCTGGTGAACCGTAATTCATACCTGAACATATGAGTGAACTCTTTCGGCACCCGCTTAGAAGACTAGAGAATTTCCTCTTTTATGGACGATTTGATCTCAGACCGTTTTGGGGGCTTAGATTTGGATAGATTAGGGTCATTAACTTTTTAAATAAATGCAATTTTCCTGTCTTTCTGATCCATTTGGGGGTAGTTGGGCCTCATTTAGCACTGATTTATTCCAACCTCTCTTACTAAATAAATGCTTGTATTCAGAGTCTGTTCGGAATTTAACCCAATGCTTAGGAGAACTCCTTAAATGTATATAAATATATTTTAGGGATAATTGATTCATGGAACTCGCTTATTTTGGAGCACAATTGTACAGTATTATAATTGTCCAGAAACTGGCCAAATAAATGTAGAATGCACAGGTTGTTGGGAAGCCCTTTTGTTTCCTGATAGTTATATGTAATTCCAGCAGTATTTGGAAATAATTTGGTAAGATGTTAGAATGTAATATTTGAAGACTTGTTAGAAAAATGCATAAAATTATCTTTGGCTAATGGGTGGTACACCCCTTAGTCTATTTAATATGCCTTCCCAAATACTATATCTGTTGAGAACCGATGTATATAACTACAGTAGAAGACTTTAATAATTAGTGCCTGAGTCTAAAATTGAGATTTTTAATTCTTAAAAAAAAAAAAAAAAAAAAAAAGTTTGATAAATATAGCCTTGACTTGCCTTGTACCACTTGTTTATGAGTGCTTTAAATAAACTTAGTTGATTTTTAAAAGTATTTTTTCTATAATTGATATTCTTAGTTTTGCCTTTTTCTTGAAATGTGTGAAATTTGATTTTATTTTTTGGCATCTAAGAAAGTAGGTGGTAAATGAACTTGAATTTGACAATGGGTTTTCTATTTTTTTTCAGTATTGTGATCAGTATAGTATATAAGAGAATTCAGTAACTTTTTAGAGGAATAAAGTGCCCTTCACAAATAGTCCTAGAGCTTTTGGAAAAGTATAAATTGTAGTTTGTAGTTCTAAGTAAATAGAGAAGAGTTGCAACCACGTGCTGGGGTCACCTGACTTCATTGCTGACAGGCATGAAGCCAAATGGCTTATGTAGTTATGGAATATGTACATGAGCTATTAATAAATATTATCCATGTTGTTTCTTTCAAGTGCTTTATTTCTTGGCTCTGGGGAGGGGCAATGGGGGAAGGGAGGAGCTTACAAGAAAGCTTACAAGCTTTCTTTGAAGCCGTGCTTTATAACAAAGTTTCAGAATGTAACGCCTTGGTTGAGATACTGTGAGATACATTTTGTTACTGGGAGTAACAGGTTGTTGGAAAGATTTGGTTTTCTCCTGTTGTAGAGGGAACAGGGAAGTGTGGACCTACCCTGTAGCATAACTTGATTTGTTTCTAAGATTGTCATAGTTGATTTGTTAGTCAATAAAAATACTCAGGTGTTTGCCAAGTCATAAATTTTCATTAGTCAAATTTGAGGTTGTTATTCTGTCCCCTCTTCAGAAAGATGACAGACTCTAGGTAACTGACAGAATGGATCTTGATCTTCCTTGCTTAAATGAAGGTTTAGAACATCTTCAAATGAAGCATGTTTATTATGGCTCATCTAAACAAGTTTGATTAAACACTTATTTATTTATTTATTTATTTTTGCCTTTAATATACCATTTCTTCCTTGGTGTTTTGGTTGTGTTTTCCTTGATTTAGGCTTTTTTTTTTTTTTTTTTCCTCCCTGAGATGGAGTTTTGCTCTCTGTCACCCAGGCTGGAGTCAGTTGCCCAATCTCAACTCACTGTAGCCTCTGCCTCCCAGTTTCGAGAGATTCTCCTGCCTCAGCCTTCCAAGTAGCTGGGATTACAGGTGCCTGGCTAGTTTTTTGTATTCTTAAGTAGAGATGGGGTTGGTGTCTTAGTTGGCCAGTCTGGTCTCAAAACTCCTGATCTCAGGTTGGCCTCCCAGAGTTCTGGGATTACAGGTGTAAACCACCGCACCGGCTGACTTAGGCTTTGGAAAAAGCAACTCTGGTTGGTTTTTTTTTAGTGTTAGTTTACCACTTGCTGTGGAAAATGACCGTTGAGTCAATTTTGAACACACATGGTACTTCACACATACTGACAGGAAGTGTTCCAGGTGGCTGAATACATGAATGTCATATGGCAACAGAGCAAAC